GCGAGGAAGTAACAAAAAGATAGTTGGAAACTATCGAGTCCCTAAAGAAGAAAAGATGAAAAAACGGCAAAACCAATTTGATTGCCTAATGATTCTTAGATATAGTTCTACCAATCTCCTTTCAATTTTTTTCTGTTTCACCCGAAAATCAAGTATGCTTCGTTATTTACCCCAACTGGGATTCGCTGGTTTTCACAGATAATGTTTCGTTCTCGCTTAAATTTTAATATGCATGAAATTTATTTGCAGCCTTTGTCTATAGTTTCTTTTAAGTATAATTTTAAATATAATTTATTTTCCTTCTTCAGAAGAAGTTAAAAAGCTGAAGCGTCAAAACAACGAATTTTCGAAGAACCATTTTTTTTCAGAAAAGGCTAACATTAACACACACAAGATAATTTTTAAAACAATAGTTCAATAGTATAAGAATTAGAAAAATGTTTTTCCCTCCCCCTTTTGTTTAAATTTAAATATCTGAAAACCAACTCATGTATATGTGACCAATGTGTTAATGCATGTAAATAATGCTTCTTCGAAGAAGGTTTAGGGCATTTTCAGCGTGGACGGAAAAGAAAATCTTTGATGTCAAGCTTTGTGCTCTCGAAATAGTGTTCAAGCACAGTAAAATCAACTAAATCAACATAAACTACAATTCAATTCGTAATTAAATACTTTTAAAGGTAAGTGTAAAGCAAAATGTCAACATAACATCAAGGAATTTTTTTATACAAATTAAACTATTTTAAAAAAATTATTTTTGTTTCAAGTTTTATGAAAGGAAGAAAAAACATTATTTAAATTGTAAAAGTTTCATTTTCTTCAATACTCTTTTCTATTTTGGAATGATTTGCTGGTCCGAATATAATAGCAATTGTTTCTACACTTTTTGACAATGTCAGTAAATTCTTCTTTTAAAATGTAAAAAATTCTTAAACGACTTATTTTTCAAGGAAATAAAAAAAAAATTCATCCCTCCCAAAATTAAATTTTTTTTTTGTACACTCCTTTCTATTTTCATTTCATTGCTGTAGGGATTTACTAATTCCATCACTAGATGGCAGCTCTGCATTAAAGTACACTCTACTAAAGGCTCTGTTAGTAGTTTAGCATTGTAAAATTAAATTATCAAATTAATTATTAATAAGTAATTAACTAAGTTAATACATATTTCTAAATCGAGTTAAAAGTTTTATTAACTCTAAAAGTAAAAATACAATTTATTGTCCATTTTTTATATTTTATTATATTGTTATATTCGAAATCAGAGCTAGTACAACTAAACACTCAACGAAAAGAAAAAAGGTAGTAAATTTTTTTAAAACGCCAATAATAAGATAAACCACAAAAATAAGGTAACCCTGAAAACCGGTTTTTCGTTGCCATCGAGAAGATAGGACCTTCACTTCCTCTTACGGGTTCCTTATATCTACGGCACTAATAACAAGACACTTCGTTTGACGCTTTTACTTGTTGCTAAAAATTAGCGGAGGTGAGGACAAGGCTGAACTGGATCCGTAACTTAAGTGTTGCGCAAAACGGTTACAATCAAGTTTAGCCGCTGTTTTCATTTAACCATTCTAAGACGGGACAGAAATAGGTTGTAAACAACGGGCAAACTAAATGCTTTATATATCAGTTGTTGTTTTATTTATTTCAACGTTATTAAATTGAAAATTAGCTTTAAAACATTACGGATGGAAGCAAAGAAAATAGTGGAGCCTCAAAATCCGTGTTCTCCAAATGCGGAAAGACCGTTTAAGGGCCACGTTTGTGGAATATGCCAGAAATGGTTTAAAAGATCAAGTGATCTGCATAGACATGGAAGTGTACATTCCAATGAAAAACCTATTTCTTGTGATCATTGCAACATGAAATTTGCATCTAAAGATAGATTATACTCACATCGTAAATATTTCTCCCTAGAAAAGGCTTTTCAATGTGAGTTTTGCCCAATGAGCTTTAAAATGTTTTCTATTCTTAAACTTCATATGATTATTCACACTGAAGAGAGACCTTATAAGTGTGAAATGTGTAATAAGAATTTTCGTCGTAAGGGTGGGCTTGAATATCATTATAGCAGTCAATCATATCTAGCTCATCATAGAAAATTTGAAGAATTTAAACAATTTGAATATTTAATCGAGAAATATAAATCTAGAAATGTTGATGATGGTGCTGTGCATATTTGTGCAGTCTGTAAAAAGGAATTTAAATCAACAAAATGCCTCGAACGCCACTCTGTTGTTCATGCTCAGAAGTGGTTTGAATGTGACATATGTGGAATACGTTCTAAAAGAAAAGAATACATATCTAAGCATAAACGCACAGTCCACTCTACTACTAGAAAGGAGCTTTTTCCTTGTGATATTTGCAAAAAAAATTTTACTACCAAATATTCTGTCAAGTTACATAAAGCTGCTCTCCATGAAAAATTCAGGTCATTTCAATGTGAAGTTTGTCCCCGATCTTTTCTTAGGAAAAACGATCTTGTATCTCATATGGGTGTCCACAGTGGAGTGAAAAATTTTGCTTGTATTATGTGTGACAAAAAATATAGAACATTGAATGGTTTGAAGTATCATATGAGAGAGCACACGGGAGAAAAACCTTATATGTGTGAAGGTTGTAATGCACGTTTTAAATCAGGGGAAATGCTAAAAAGTCACTCTAAAAAGTGTGAAAAAATTAAAGCTATTTTAGGAACAGAACACAATACAGATTGCAAAATGGAACTTGAATTGTTCCAAAATCAAAACACAGATTGCCAAATAAAAATGGTCAAAGTGCCTGAAAAAAATATAGCTGAAGAAACTGTGGATCAAGCAACATATAAAAGTCTCGAAGCTACAAAGAAAGCATTTAGTAAAAGGGATAAAGTTTTTTCATCTCAAAATATAAAGTTTATAAAAGTTCAGAATACAGCAGAACTGGACATATTGAGATTAACAAGATTATTTCAGAGATACAGGTGTCTTTCAAATGTTTATTCCAAATAGCTTTAGTGTATATTATATCCAATTGTGATGTAGTGGCTTATGGGGAAACTATTGTTGTTCTACTGACAATAAGACAATTGTTACGATCATTACTATAACTTTATATTTTAATTTTATTTGTAGCTACTTATGCTAACCAGATTTTTTTAAAAAAAAACAGATTTAATCTGTGATAATTTACTGAAAAACAATTAGTATAAATTGTAAGCATACATGAAAGTAAAATTTTTATTACCTATAAAACATTGAGGTGTGAAAAAACTAAAACATCTTATTGTCTAGTACATAACGCAAAATTACCACCATTCTCGTACCTATAACTTTAAATAATTATTTTAATTAATATTAATACCAATGATAACTGTTGATTTAATTATGAACTACCATTTTATTAAATTAATCTATTAACCTTTTTATCTGGTAAAAAGTTAAATTAATTTAATTGAACATATTACTTGTTATGTGTTTCATTATAAATTGTTTGTATTAGTAATCATTGTATATTATATTATGAATCCATGATCAGCATCTCTGAGATAGTTGGTCACTGTTAATCCTTACTTATTTTTACTATTCAGTAAATTAAAGAAATTTATTGTGACATTTGGTAAATTAAGACACTTTATCTACAGGAAGTTTTAAAATTTTTCTTTAAGTCTATAAACTTTTCTCAAATAAAAAATCTTTTACAGCTGCCAAAGATGAATACTTATCAAATTTAAAATAGTAAATATAACGTAAAATTTATTTAAAGTGGTTACAGGAGAGACAAACAGCAGAGATGTCATGATTAGGACTGGGTATCAAGTATCGAGACATATCGATTTAACGCATATATCGGCAAGATGATACAGCGGCTTTCATTCAAGGCGATGCATCAGAAATCTGATTTAAGCCGTCAAGTAAAGACAGCGAGCGCAATACGATATAGCGATATAAGACACACAAGGAAAGAAGAAAACGATATAGCGATATAAGACTCTTCTCTTACGTTCCGATTTCGACTCGCGCTGTGGAAGATGATGTTCGTTTCATTATGTTGAAATGGCCTTGATGGGTGAGCTGTAGAATCATAATCAGAGTTTTGAGAACATATATCGTTATATCGCATGTTCCTTTTCGCACCTCTTAGCTTTTATTTTCTTTGTCGCGACTTTTCTTGTAGATTATTTTCAGTGGGACTAACTTCGTGATCGCCAATGTTACCTTGTTCTGAAGGCAATCTATTATTGAAAAGAATATATAAAGAAGAGTTTTTT